CACACACACACACACACACACACACACACACACACACACACACATATCAATATTGAAAGAGAATAAAATGATGTTATTTCAAATAACATTTTAATATAAATTATTTATATTTTAATATAAATTATTATTACACATGCACACAGAATATTCAATTGATTTATCTTGTTTCAAATATATAAAGTGTTATAACGAGTTTTATATTATTATTGTAGCTTCCAATTTCACAAATTTCATTTGAGATTTTTCCTTGTTTTTCAGATAATTGAGAATATAATCCTCAATTGTTGGCAATGTATCTAGGAATTTCATAAAAATTTCTCTCGCCGTTGTAAAATAACCGAAAAACAGATTGCCAGCAGCTGTTGGACAAATATTTTGCCTCGATAGTCAAGATGAAGTAAAGTCTCCATCCCAGTTGAGCTCATCAATCACGTCAATTACATACGACATGGTCGATTCGCGATAACACGCACGCGCACAAGACAAAATAAAAGGACAAGATAAACACGTACATACATACATATACTATATATTTATTTAGGTATATAAATATATCTCGTGTTTGTGTGTGTGTGTGTGTGTGTGTGTGTGTGTGTGTGTGTCGCCCATTTGCTACAATGACTGCAGACAAAATTTTCTAGGAGACAAGTTTGAATGTTTTAAAACATTAAAATTTTGAAATAATAATTTTTAAATGTAATTTTGGCGAAATAATTGATTTTACAGAAATAAATGTATATTTTTCCTTTTTTTTTCTTCATTTTTTTTCTGCAATAAAAAAAATTACAATTTTTGAGTTACATATTCGTGGTAGCAAATAGGCGATATAATATATATGTATATACTACATATACATGTGTGTGTAGGTACGTTACAAAAATGTTAAATAATTAGTAATAATATCGTTTTGGGGATGAGACCAGAAAAGCATTACAATGGCGCCGGCTTAAGGTAATGCTTTCTATCGTGTTATTCGACATACTATAATTATCGGCGAGAAAATGTTCAGTTTCCTTTCTGGAGCAATTACGAAGAACAAAGGGGTCAAAAGTAGCAGCCACAATTACAGGTTTCTATCTCTAGTTCATAGTCTCCCTCTCTCCTTCTCTCCCTCCCTCCCTCCCTCCCCCCTCCCTCTCTCTTTCTGTCTCTGTCTATTCTGTAAATTCTCTTATTGTTTTTTAAGAAAGTAGCCATTACGAACAATTTCTGAACGCGCACGCAAACTCGAAGCAACGACGACGCGACAAAGGGAGATACTGTGATTACCGGCGCGTCCATAATATTATTTCCATCAACAGTCCAAGAACAGTCCGCGCACCCTTCTCTAAGTTCGCCCATCAGCATTTTTTCTTTCGTACGTTACAATGAGAGAGAAACAGTATTTCTCTCCGCTGTAAATCGACCCATCCTCGCGCGCCATCGAATCGCGCATCGATCCGCGATTTTCAATAAAGAGGAAAATAGGAACAAGTTAAATTTGATAAACAATGTCGCTAGGGATGTACATATATTTTAGGCGTTTATAATTAATAAACAAAAGTGGTAGAAAGGATCAAAGAGAACATTTCCGAGGGAAGGGCGGATACTGTAGATTACAATCGAGTTTTGCCTGTCCCTTCCGAAATAATCGGCCCTGCAAACAGTGGAAATGACGAGTGAAGGGGTGCGCTTAATTGACGATATCTCAATGGGACAACAGGGCGTAGAGCGTGACGACCCCAAAAGCCACCCTAACGTTAGGCGAGGGGTTAGTCGAACGGTCGTATCCTTTCAGTCTTCGAAGTGGCTTTAAGACCATGCCAATATTTCACAAGTTTCGTTTGCCTGGCCTTTCCGCTCACTTATTCGCCCCGGGGGCGTTCAACGTATTTCCGCATATTTGAATAATGCCTCTTTCGTGATTCGCGTAATCGTTCGATTTGATCGCATGAAAATAGTTACACTGATGCGCGATGTCGCGATTACGCGATTATTTCAATTGCATTATGATGCAGTCGATTGAATTAATGATATGTGTAGCGATGTAACAATGCGCTGCGCACATACGGTGCGGATATATATATGCGAGGATATTTGAATTTATATTAAAACACGATAAATAACCTGGATATACACCCGCCTGTATTTTCAATGGGAAAGAGCTCGAAATATTCAATTAACAAAATGGCGAACGGCGGCATTCTATGAAATTTCCACATTAGAGTCACATGCACATCGCGAAATGTGCCACACTGACAAAATAATATTGTCAGTGTCGAGATATTGAAAAGTGATAAGGCCGACAACATGACAGGTCTGTTATCATGACGATGGTCGGCAAAGTAGAAATTATCGCGGCGTAGTCGTGAAGCTTACGCGTGTCAACATCAAAGCAATGAAGCGTCGATGAAGCGACTTTAACGAGCCCCATTCGAATGAAAAAAACAAAAAACTTATCTCCAGACTCTCTTTCGTAAAAACGTATTTTTCAGAGAGTAAAATGATTATAAATCACAAAAGTGTTCACGGAAAGCTTAAGAAGGAGATTGTGTAACATTTGTTAAAAATATGAAACTTTTAGAGAAAATCTCTTCAAGTAAGAATGAAGTAGTGATCAAGCAAGTGAGTGCTTTCCATTTTGTAGTACAAGTCTAAACAGATATCTATCAAGGCTCTACCTTTGTTACTTGACTGAATGTCGAGAAACATAGAAAGATAGAATGATGTTTGTGTCGACTTGTCGTGTCACTAAATGGAAATCATCCAAATATCTCGTTGGAACGACACACATTCGTGCGTCCGCATTTCATTTGACCAGAATTTTTTGGTCAAAATTCCGCATAAGTTTCCGCCTCTCGTTCGTTTCGATAATTCTTTTTAGAGAAAACATACCTCTCCGTGCGTGTCTCTCCTTCCATCCGGCGTGTTTTCAGGTAAGAAATAAAGTCGCAGGGATGCCAAAGGCTGATTCGGTCCACGACTGTCCATCCACAATAGCTGAAGTTCGCCGATGCTGACGAGATCGGCATCGCTCCACAATTTCGTCAGGAAGAAACTACCGAGACGAAGGACACGACCGTTACTTATCCTTACTGCCTTGTAAAATGTGTAAGGGCCGTGGCTGAAGCAAGCACCGCCTAGCAACTAAAAACGCAGAAAAGAATTCGTCAACATTAATATTGGAGTCATTATCTCATGCTGTGTGAATATTACATGTGACATGGAAAAAAAATATATAAAAAATAAATTAACCAAGAGATTTTGTCACAAACACCAAACAGGTATAAAAAGTGGTTAATTTTTCAAGAAACAAAAAATTTCTCTTCTTTACAATAATAACGGTAAAAAAGGTCAGGCTTTAGAGCAAACAACGATTGTGTGATCACAAATTAAACTAGTTGATTTTAAACTTAAAAATCATACGTAATTAATATTTAGTTTTTCACGACGATACATCTTGCAAGAGAACGTTCCGGCTTTACTTGATTCTCATCAGCCTAAAATCAACAACAGTAGTATAAAATTTACATTATATTGAAATTAACAAAATAATAGAAACGTCAGAATTGAGTCTAAAAATAAACTATATAGTCACACTGATGGTTGGACATATATAAAAGAGTATTCTTCAAGCCCGAAATTTCGTAACTGTTTCCTCATTCAAAAGTGAGAAAATAGAGTCCAATGATAACATTCAAAAAGATGGATCAGAATTGTTGCATAGTGTCCAAGAACTTTCTCAGTTTCAACAAATTGAAATTGACATTGTACAAAAAGGACAGGAATATGACGTTATAGTAAAATGAGAAGAAATAAAAATTAAAACTTGACAAAAGTAAAAATTATATATAAAAATAAAAAATAAAAATTAAAGCTTACACAAGAATTGAAATTCTAAAAATTAATAAAATTATGTCCAAGCTACAAGACAGGGCCTCAAGTCAGTACAAGTGTATACAATCAAATAATGTACGTAACTAACAACGCTTGTGTTTTTTTAGCAAATAATAATCGAATATGAAATTTACAAGGACATTTAAATAATCAAATTAAGTAGATCAAAATAGAAATCATCAAGACCATCTGCGTCTTTCTAAATTAATGCCTTTTCCTTGTTTTTTTTTTAATGTATTTTTATATTTTTTCTAATGTGACATTATAAAATATCTTACGATCAGAGAATCGTCACGGGTTAACATGTCGTCATTATTTTTACAACGATTGTGCTGATTCACTTTTCCTTAAAACATTTTTTTTATGTAAAATGTATTACTTTAAAAATCAGTTGTAAGGAGTAACCATGAGTCTCCATGAGCAATTTAATACAAAGTTCTCCCTCCCAAGATTCTCTCTCAGAAAGGAAGAGTGGGATAATAATATCGACACAACAAGATTATAAATAATTTATAATTCCAATCTTATGGTGATTGAAGATAAACGATAAATATAATATCAGCTTGAGAAAGTCTTTTTATGGAAGCAATTAACAATGATTTCTCATCTTCAAATTTTGTTCAGTATATAAATATCGTAATTTTTCTCCAAACATACAGATGTAAACATAAAAATGAAGCTTTAGATTTTAATTAATATTTTAAAGATGCAATTTAATCCTAAAATGTTATAGTATGTGTAAACTTGACGTGTGTAAATAAGCTATGTCATTGAGCACTAAGCTATATCATCAGGAGAATTCGCCATGCTAAAAAACAGGGACAAGTAGAGACAAGCTTTTAAAAATTCATACATCAGTTTGGACCCTCGGTGGTCAATATTATAATAAAGAGAGAGAAAGATAATGATAAATGATTTCAAACAGATTTGAGTGCTATTATTTTGTTGATATATATTATCTTTAAATATATAAAGAAACGCACGCACACAATCGGATTCCATCTCGTATCATTTCAAGATTGAATTTGATATTGCGCTTACTGTTTCTTTTCTTTTAACCTAATAATTAGACTGTGCTTACAAATATCTATATTATAAATATATTTTGTCTATTACATATACTCGTATTTAAAAATGTGTGAAATGTACGAAAAATTTCTGTCATATTGATTAAGCGTGGCTTTTCCACTGTGTACTTAAAACTTACGTAACAGAACCAATACTATCACTTAATATCAATAATAATATTATATTATAGATTTAAAAAAAAAAATAAAAAGTGAAAAATTTCTGAACAGTTTGCTTCTTGCGGAATATTTACTATCTCTGTATATGTTTATCCCATAATTCTTTATATTTACCATTTTTTCTTATAAATAAAAAAAAAACTTGTTTTACTCTTGTGTTAGAAAGGTGATGGAATAGTTTCATTCTTGTAGAATAGCAAACATTAAGCTCTTACGTTTCCTGTTTCTTTGTTTGACTTTTGCCGAAACAGCACATTTGTTTACGATGTTACGATGTACAAATAACAAAAGGAATGAGCGCCATAACTCGTATTAAAAAAAAAAAAGATGGATTTATTTGATTTTTATGGTAAGCCTTCAATTTTACATATATATGTATATATATTATACACAAAGAAAATACTACACTCTCTCTATATAATTTCCTGTAACGTTGGTTCTAATAACACGCTCGGAGTATACGCCATTTAATCGTTATTCGCGCACGCGCGCGCGTACCATTATTATTAATATTATAATTAACGTATATTAATATTTAATGAGAAATGCGTTTGGATATTAGAATGTATTATGGTGCAATATTAATCGGATGATAAACAGGTAGAATATGTGCGTTGAAATGCGACAAATCAGCGTGACAAAGAGCATCGAAAATTCAGTTGCAGATTAATTTCGGGGAATATTTGATTAAAAGGCATTTTCTTTCCTTTTTTTTTCGAACCGGTAACAGTTCGTTTGAGTCGGCTTTTAAAATACCATCCCCATGAAAACGCATGCAGGACCATCAGGAGAGAGGGAGAGGGGGAGAGAGAGAGAGAGAGGGAGGGAGAGAGAGAGAGAGAGAGAGAGACAGAGATTCGTGGCGGTGAGGGATGAGACGACGGAAAAGCGAGGGTACACGACTCCCTAGAGGGTATTTGCAGCACACCGCGTATAACACGAAACACGTGCACACTCGCGCGACATTCATTCGCTCGCTTGCACGCACGCACGTATATACATAATGTGAGAGAAAAGCCGGACGAGTCGTAGAAGGAAATCTTTGCGCTAAAAGCGACACGGGTTTCTACGTTTCAGATAATGCGTGCGATTAAAATCAATAGAGCGGAATCGATGCGCGCGATATCGTAAATAATAAATGGCAAACACGCGCGTGAAAAATTAATTAACCGTCTGAGTGTTTGAGACAATAAGAAAGACCCGCTCAACGAAGGAATGCGACGCATCTCGTGCGGAAAAGAAAAAAAGGCGAATGAATGATAAAAACGTAAACAAAGATTCGAACGACGTGCGTGACGTTGATTTTACGTCTCTCCTCCCCTCCCCATTGCCCTAGAAAAACTATTTATTATTCAATGAGAAAAATGTTTATTATCCAGCTGCTGAAAAAAATTCCGCAAACGAAAGAGCAAACGAACCGTGCACGCGGTGCGTACAGTCCGTCGCATAATTTCCGATGGATGCCTCTCCTTCAGCGTAGCGGCGAATCGCGATCCGAGTCCTTCGCATCATCGCATTTTTTTCTTTTTGTTAAAATTCAACGATCAACGCGTTGATGATTAACAACACAGTGATTTCAAATGCGAATTTTTACGTAGAGATAAAAATTACCGAAAAGAACTAAAAATTTCTTTTAATTAAACAAAATCAGAAAGAAAATCAATTTTTTACCGCAACCATAAAAGCTGTTCATTCGAATATGCCTTTTTCTATATTGGACGTCATATTATTTATTTTTGAATTCGGCTTTTGCATACGATTAAACGATTTTTATATAAAATTAGCTGTGAGCAATCAAAATGCAGCACAATAACTAAGTGGCGGTGGCTGGATATACTTATTATTAGTCTAATTGTAGGTTCCGAAAAGGTGTTGTCAAAGACGTTTCTCCGCCTCGACATTTAAAATATAAATTCTATATTTTTTTCTAAGATTTTGATTATAAAATCGGTTTTTACTGAATATAGAAAAAAATCGATATTTTTACTCTGAACTAAAAAAAAAAAAGCTTTTCTTCTTTATTCCACTCTTACATAGAAAGTGCGCACAGAGGGAACATCTTACCGGAATCATTCTCTCCGCAATCGTTGACGAATGAGTCTCGAAATTGGTGCCGATAGCACGAATATTCTAACAACGGAATCAATCGCGTTTCGGGCGGGCTCGCGAAATCTGACGAAATGCCGTTTTCTCTCATTCATTTCTTCTTTTTTTCCCTTCGTATCCGGCACGACCGAGTGGCTACAGATCAGTCGAATATCGCGGGAAGAGTGTACATACTGACATAACAGACGCGGTATCGGCGTGAGCTTTCGCGGCTCTGCGAGACCGATCGGCCCGTCATAATTGAGAGTATATAAATACTCGATACTACCATACTACCAGATACTATCCGAACGAACGATCGAAGGGAGGGGAAAAACACAAAAACGACAACACGAGAGATCCACTCTGGCGCTTTGTAGCGCGGACTGTACGGGCGTCTGCTGCTTTGCAGCGGAGACTCGTCCATTACTCCCTTTGCTTTATTTATCCGGGCGAAATTTCAAATCGAATCGGATTTGGATGTAAAAGAGACAGCCGCGCAAAGATCGATGCTAGAATATTCACGCTAAAAATGCCCCACCACATTTTTTAGCCAAGCCGATAGGAATTCTCCCTGCGATTTATCGTTTTATATTGTAACGACACGCGAGAGCGCAGCGGTTCCAGCGACGTATCGGTTTCACGAAGGAAGATGATTCCGAAAGGCTCGCTTCGAATAACAAAGTCCTTTAATTGCCGACTAAGTGAATCCGATATTGGGTCATGTTAGTCGCGCACGCGCGCGAATAAAATCTCTTGGGAACAAACGAAGAGTTTGCGTTCCGATATGCAAAACCGTGCAATCGCTCATTAGTTGCTCATTATTGCGCAAATCAACGAGGATGTCCGCGAGCGCGCTATCAATTGCATTCGCGTTACATAATTGAATCAATAATGGCATCGGCGATCATCGGCGCA